CTGACTTTAAAATGTTCCTAGCATAATATCAGTGGAACATAGTTAAATGTGTTAGAACTTGGGAGTCCCAGTTATTCTTTTAAACGTAGAATAGATGCACTCTTATATTCTAAAGAGGATTTTGTCACTCTTTATCTCAGACCATGTCAGGGTTTTCATTCATATGCACCAAGATAAGAAAAATGACAGTGTAGGAAGCTAAATGTATTAAAAGTATTTTGAGTTTTTGCTCTTCCTGTACTTTTTTTTTTTACATAATATCTTTATTTTTTATTTTTACATGTTTCCAGGGATCGAACCCAGTGCCTCACGCATGCTAGGCAAACGCTATACCACAGAGCCACAACATCGGCCCCTACTTTTTAATATTTTAGTAAATTGTAGTGTTTTTTAACGTGTTTTTTACATGAGATTGACTCTTCCCCCCAGATGACTTATCTGTGAGTCAATTTGATGGTATATTTAATCATCAAGAGAGCTGAGCCACATTCTTTCTAGGCACTTTCTGGATAATACATTAGCAAATTTACTGATGTACAATATCTAGCAAAAGCACTGAAAGAAAAATTACATTGAGATAATTGCCTGAAAATTGTGAAGTCCTCTGGGTACATACTTGGAAATTTCCCTCTGGATTAAACAAGAATAGTAATGTTTTCAGACAACCTTATACTGGTCCCCTAAACAGTTGCTTTTACTGCTGAGTAGAAAGAAGCCATTGGCTTAGGTTGAGAGATGCCTCATGAGGTGGCCTGATGAATCATCTCCTTGGGTGTCTAGTAAAGCTGCTGGTGATTGGTTTAATACCTGTGTTACATAGCAGCCTCTTTATGTGACTCCTTAAGGGATGTTTCTTTCTGGTCCTAGCGTAGAGTACCATTTGCAATTGTCTCAAACAAAAGGCTTTGTTTTTGTTATAGGGTCACCATGAATTGTGTAACTGATTAAGTTTACTTATTTAGGGTAGGCTATAAAGTTTAAGTTGCATATGTAGCCTACTCATTACAAATATATAGTTTCTTTTTTTATAGAACCAGCTCTGTAATCTCGACTTTATTTATTTAATATTTATTCTTAAGTTTTAGGTGGACACAATATCTTTATTTTACATTTATGTGGTGCTGAGGATCGAACCCAGTGCCTCTTGCATGCTAGGCAAGCACTCTACCACTGAGCCACAACACCAGCCCCTCATTTATTTGTTTTTGAATAGGTAATTCAATCACTTGGTTCAAAAATCCCAGTTGCAAAAGGCTACATGATTAAAAGTCATCTTTCTACCACTTTCTTTTTTCTTTTCTTCCTTTCCTTGAGAGCTTGTTTAGAGGTTCCAGTAGTGAAGCACAGCTACTCATACATCCTTGACTGAAGGATAGTCCTACTGGGGAAGGTTGTCTTCTTTCACTGAGTGCACAGCTTTAGTGATCAGTACATTGAGGGATGAGGGAGGAAGGGAATACCTGCTTAGTTGACTAGATTAGCCAAACCAACCCCAGAAACCAGTGGGGTAGCAGAGGTCACAGCCAAATTGCCCTCACATCCTCTTCCTTTCCTTGAGATAGGGATCTCACTATGTTGCCCAAGCTGGTCTAGGACTACGGGCATAGGTTGCCATGCCTGGTTGTACCACTTTCTCATAGCTATTAAGTTTCATTCCTTGGAGGCAACCATTGTTATTGGCTTTTTATGTATCCTTCTGAGATATTTTATACATTTATAAGCCTATCCACTTTATAGACTTTTATAGCTCCATTTTATGTCTTTTTTAAATCTTTTGTCCCCTATTTTAAAAATGATTTTTTTTTTTTTTTTTAATTCTCTCTCTCTCCCTCCCTCTCTCACTCTATCTTTTTTTTTTTTTTTTTTTTAAGAGAGAGTGAGAGATGGATGGAGAGAGAGAGAGAGAGAATTTTTTTTTTTTTAATATTTATTTTTTAGTTTTTCGGCGGACACAACATTTTTTGTCTGTATGTGGTGCTGAGGATCGAACCCGGGCCGCACGCATGCCAGGCGAGCGCGCTACCGCTTGAGCCACATCCCCAGCCCCTTAAAAATGATTTTTCTTGATTCTTTTTAAAAATTATAAAATACTTCATGTGTATTACTGATTCAGAAAGATGAAGAAAGGATAAAAGAAACTAAACATTTTCTGTAATCTTATCATCCAAAGATCATTATTGTTAACATTTTAATATTTATTTTTCCAGACATTTCTCATCAAATATGTATTCATTCTCTCAAATAATGAAATGAATGAATGCTTATAAAAGTTTAAAATAAAAATTGTATTATATTTTACGTGCTGTTTTATGACCTACTCTTCATTTAAGACTATTCCATGGACAGCGCTCCTTCAGTAAATTTAGATCTATACTTTGTTTTTTAATTTTAACTTTTTTTTAAAACATTTTTTTTAGTTGTAGATGGACACAATATCTTTATTTATTTTTATGTGGTGCTGAGGATCAAACCCAGTGCCTCACACATGCACGGCGGGCGCCCTACCACTGAGCCCCAGCCCTTAATTTTAACTTTTAACTTTGAAATAATTTTAGATTTTTAAAACATTGGAGAAATAGTACATATGGGGCTGTTTTGTAGCTCAGTGGTAGAGCCTTTTGGCAAAGTGCACATATGAGGCACTGGGTTCAATCCTCAGCACCACATAAAAATAAATAAATAAAATAAAGGTATTGTGTCCTTTTGTAACTAAAAAAACAAAAGTATATAGACTTTCTGTTTATCCTTCACCCAGCTTCTGATGTTAACATCCTATACTGCTGTAATAAAGTGCCTACAACAAAAGTTTAACATTGATTCAGTGCTATTAACTAAAGCACAGACCTTATTACCACTTCCCTGTGAATGTTCTTTTTCTGCTACTATTCAATCTGTAATCTTATTTTGCATTTAGTTGTTTTTTCTTTAGTCTATTCCAATGTGGGACACCTGCTCAAACTTACATTTTTAAGAGTATTGACTAGTTATTTTTTTTCTCTTAATTTGGATTTGTTTGATGTTTTCTCATGAAGAAATTGGAGAAATATTTTTTTGGCATGGGTACCACATTTTTGGGATGAGGACCATATATATCTCAGTGAATCATATTAGGAAGAACTTGGTGTTAATATGGTTAACCTATTATTAATGATGTTTAACTTGGTCACATAATTAAGGAAGTGAATGTCAGGTTTATCTGTGTAAAATTATTTTTCCCTTTGCATATGCTGGTTTTTATCATATTTTTTACCCACTGATTGTAGTATCCACTGATGACAGTTATTACCCTTTAGAATTATTTCAGTGGGTCAAATAGTGATTTTTTTCTTCTGTCTTTCCTTCTACACTTGATGCTTAGAATTCTCTGTAAGGATAGCTTTCCTTTTTTGTTCCATTTATTTATTTATTTATTTATTTATTTATTTTTAAAGAGAGAGAGAGGTAGAGAGAATTTTTTTTAATATTTATTTTTTAGTTATCGGCGGGCACAACATCTTTGTTTGTATGTGGTGCTGAGGATCGAACCTGGGCCGCACGCACACCAGGCGAGTGGGCTACCGCTTGAGCCACATCCCCAGCCCCTGTTCCACTTATTATTTAAGTATTTATAACTGAAGTTTTGGGGGAGGGGGCACCAGGAATTGAACCCAGGGTCACTCGACCACTGAGCCACATCCCTATCCCTATTTTGTATTTTATTTAGATGCAGGGTCTCACTGAGTTGCTTACTTTTGTTGATGATGCCGGCTTATTGTTGTTGATGCTGGCTTTGAACTCTTGGTCCTCCTGCGTCAGCCTCCTGAGCTGCTGGGATTATAGGAGTGTGCCACTGCGCCTGGCTATAACTGCAATTTCTAAGTCTCCCATCATAAAAACATATATCAATGTATTTAGATAAATTTATATTGATAGGCATTGAGATTATTACCCAATTTTTCAGTGCTCTTGAACACTATACTGAACATATCTCTTTGGGCACTTGCCCAATATTTCCTTAGGAGAAACTGTCCTAAGAACTGTCGTCTTAGAATCAAAAGGCATATACCTAAAAGATACATATTGCCCTGTAGAAAAGCTGATAACAAATGTCACACAGTCAAGCAGAATATGAGAATGACTGCCCATTTCCCCACTCTACGGACATTTCTAATCAGCTTCTGATATGTTCTGCCCCGTTCCCCAAAACATAACAAATGTAAATGAAATAGTTTTTAGAGTGTGTGGAAGTTACAAAGAGGTAGAAGGAAATGTATAGTTTAATATAAAACCTTCTCCTAAACTAGGGGCACTGGCACACCCCTATAATCCCCGTAATTCTGGAGGCTGAGGCAGGAGGATTGTAAATTTAAGGTCAGCCTTAGCAATTTAGCAAAAACCTAAGCAACTTAGGAAGACCCTGTCTCAAAAAATAAAAAGGGCAGGGGTTGTGGCCCAATGGTAGAGTATTTGCCTAGCATGTCTGAGGCACTGGGTTTGATCATCAATACCACATAAAAATAAATAAACTAGAGATATTATGTCCGTCTAAACTAAATTTTTTTTTTTTTTTTTTTTTTTTTTAGTTTTCAGCGGACACAACATCTTTGTTTGTATGTGGTGCTGAGGATCGAACCCGGGTCGCACACATGCCAGGCGAGCGCGCTACCGCTTGAGCCACATCCCCAGCCCCTAAACTAAAAATTTTAAAATAAGTAAATAAATAAAAAGGGCTGGGAATGTGGCTAAGTGGTTGAGCACCCCTGGATTCAGTCCCCAGTAACAAGCAAAAACTTTCTCCTAACGAGTGTTGCCCCACAATGGAAAGGGATGCTGTGTATGGAAGAGAGTTCCTCATTCTCAGAAATGTTCAACTAAAAATTTGCAAACGCTTTCTGGGGATTAGATGAAAGGGATTAGATAAACTCTTAGGCCCTTCTTGGTCCCGGACATATCTAACATTTCAGTTTATGATCATCTGCTGTCTGTGAAGTCTGAGTGAACGTGGATGTCTTGCTTTTCAGTGGTCGAAGGCCTCTCACTGTTAGACTTGGGAGTATCTCCGTATTCTGGAGCAATATTTCATGAAGTAAGTGTTCTTGTTTTCTTTTCGGGGTACTAAGAGTGGTTTACCGTCATAGATACCAAAGCCTAACCTTTGTTTTGTACAAACATTTAAAAGGATCTATTTTTGAAAATCCTATTTAGAAACAACCCTTTTTTAGATGTCCTCTGGATAAAAAGGTAGTTTCATAGTTACTGTTGAAATGATCCAGATTAAGATTGTAACTTGGAGAAACAGGTGAGATTTCTGTAGAAGTGACTTTTAAATGGCAAATAAATTGTAACCATGGATAGTTGGTGTGCTGAGTAGCATGTAATTGGTTCTTTGAAACATGCTTTTCCATGAAAACTTAACATCAATGTTAGTTTCTTAAAAAGCCCACTAAAGCTTATTTAACCCATAAAATTAGTTTTTAAGATTAGTAAAAACAGTGGGCTGGGGTTGTGGCTCAGTGGTAGAGTGCTTATCTCATATGTGAGGGGCACTGTGGTCAATCCTCATCACCACATAAATAAATAAAATACAAGTATTGTGTCCATTTACAACCAAAAAAAAAAAAAGTCCTTAAAAAAAAAAAGATTAGTAAAAACACTCTTAATTAGGTCACCATAATCTCTTGTTTGGGTTACTCCAATAGCTTCCTGACAAGTCTTTCTCAGTTCAGTCTTGCTCATTTCTTCTTCTTTTTTTTTTGGCACAGTACTGGGTATTGGACTGAGTGCCTCTCTCCACTAAACTGAATTCCTAGCCCCTTTTTTACTTTTTTGTTTTGAGACAGGGTCTTGGTAAGTTTCTGAGATTTGCCTCAAACTTGTCAATCCTCCTGCCTCAGCCTGTTGGAGTAGCTTGAGATTATAGGCATGTACCACTGAGCCCAGCTTCATTTACTTTTCTTTTTCTTTTTTTTTTTTAGTTGTAAATGGACATAATACATTTATTTTATTTGGTGCTGAGAATCAAACTCAGTACCTTACACATGCTAGGCAAGCGCTCAGCCATTGAGCTATACAACCTTAGCCCCTTCACTTACTCTTTTTTTATTATTATTTTTTTTAGTTGTATATGGACACAATATCTATATTTTTATTTTTTACGTGGTGCTGAGGATTGAACCCAGTGTTTCACACATGCGAGGCAAGCACTTTGCCACTGAGCTACAGCCCCAGCCCCTACTCTCTCTTTTTTTTTTAATATTTTTTAGTTGTAAATGGATCTTTATTTATTTATTTATTTATTTATTTATATGCGGTGCTAAGGATTGAACCCAGGGCCTCACACATGCCAGGCAAGTGCTTTACCACTGAGCCACAACTCCAGCCTCTCATTTACTCTTTATTGTGCTTTCAGGGCCATTTTTCTAAAATGTAAATCTGATTTTGTCACTGTGTTACTCAGCTCCTTTAAATCCTTAACCATTGACCTCAGGATAAAATCCAAATACCTTCAAGGAGCATACAAAACCCTGTAGACCCTCCTTACTACATTAACCACATTTTTTTTCCAATATTTTTTCTATTTTTTTTGTCCATTTATTTTTTTCTTAATTTTTTTTATAGTTATAGATGGACAGAATGCCTTTATTTTATTTTTTAATTTTTATGTGGTGCTGAGGATCAAAACCAATGTCTCATGCATGCTAGGCAAGTGCTTTGCCACTGAGTTATAGCCCCAGCCCTGTCCATTTTTTTTAATTATTATTATTATTTTATTATTGTTCAAAACATTACAAAGCTCTTGACATATCATATTTCATACATTTGATTCACGCAGATTATGAACTCTCATTTTTACCCCGTATACAAATTGCAGATTCACATCAGTTACACATCCACTTTTTTACATACCATTTATTTTTAATTGGGATATTATAGTTACAAATAATGGTGGCATCGGTTGTTATATATTTGTACATGCACACAATATAATAATATATTTTGGCCAGTATCATTCCCCAGTATTTCCTATTCTATTCTTTTTTATATATATATATATATATATATATATATATATATATATATATATATATATATATATATATATATATAATTTTTTTTTTTAAGTTGTAGCTGGACACAATACTTTTATTTTTATTTATTTATTTTTATGTGGTGCTGAGGATCGAACCCGGTGCCTCACACATGCTAGGCAAGCACTGCATCACTGAGCCACACTCCAGCCCCAATTCTATTCTTTTTTTTTTTAAATAAAAAATATTTATTTTTTAGTTGTAGTTGGACACAATACCTTTATTTTAATGTGGTGCTGAGGATCGAGCCTAGGTGAGCGTTGTGCTCTACCGCTGAGCCACAACGCCAGCCTTACTATTCTATTCTTTAGCAATCATTTCTTTTTTTTTTTTTTTTTCTTTTTTCTTCTGATACCAGGTATTGAACCTGGAGCATTTAACCACTGAGCCACATCTCCAGCCCTGTTTTAGAATTACAGGCATGCACCACTGGGCCTGACTTCCCTGAGATTAATTCTAACATATATATGTTACAGAATATGATACTGTATCATATTCTCTGTTACTTGATGGTCTTTGTTCATGCTGTTGTCTCTCTATAAAGGGCCACTCTTCCCTTTTGGGGGAGTTGGCTCTACTATTCAGATATTAGCTTAGGCTTTAATGCCTCCAAAAGTCATCCTTCATCACCTTAGACCAGGCCTTGGGTTCAATTGCCTAAAACACACGCGCGCGCACACACACACACACACAAATACACCCATGCACACACACATGCACACACACATATATTTATGTGAAGAAAGCTTCCAAACATTTTGAAATTGAACATTGTACTTTTTTTGTGTGTGTGTGTGCTGGAAATTGAACCCAGGGTGTCACACATGCTAAGCATGTGCTCTACAACTGGCCTGCATCTCCAGTCTATACATTTTAAAGTAGTCTCAAAGAAGAAATGTCAGTGGAAATTAGATTATATTTTCAACTGAATAATATTGAAAAGCAAACAGCCTATCAAAAGTTGTGGACTGAGGCTATATAGCTTAGTGGCAGAGTGCTTGCCTGGCATGTGTGAGGCACTGGGTTTGATCCTTAGTACCACATAAAAATAAATAAAATAAAAGCATCCTGTTCATCTACAACTACAAAAAATAATAAAAAAAACTTGTGTGATACAGCTAAAGCCATAATCAGAAGAAAATTTATTGCCTTAAATAATAAAAACTAAAATATTATGAACAACTTTATGTCAATGAGATGAAAATATAGATGAAATGGACAGATCCTTAGAAAAACACAATTTATACTGACATAGTAAATTGGAATATTGTTTTATCTGTGAAGGAAATTAAATCTGTAACTTAAATTTCTTAAAGAACACTTGGGCAAAAATGAGTGGATTTTTTTCTCAATTTTTATGGAGGAAATAACATTTTAACACGAACTTCTCAGAGAATAGGAGGAGGAAAAGATTTCCCAGTTAATTTTGTAAGTTTAGTAATCTTGGTCCTCTAGAGTTCCCCTTGGCTGTTAGATGTGTCTTAGAACACGATTTTCATGATAACCGTAGTGTGTTATCAGTTTCTAAACAGATATTACATACTTATTTATTTTTTGAGACAGGGTTACATTACATTGCCCAGGCTGGCCTTGAAGCCCTGTGCCAGGCAGTCCTCCTGACTCAGTTTCTGTGTACTTGGGACTATAGTTGCATACCATCATGCCAAGCTAAACAGATATTTAACACATCAAAATTTTTTATTCTCTTTTGTGAAGTCAAAAAATAGTTCCAGTGGTACGAAAGGTTCAGGGTACTAAATTATTTGCTCTTATATGTACATCAGCCAATTATAATAGTACAATATTCCAAGAAGGAAACAGATAAACAGATTTTTGCTGAAGAAGTTTTTCCCCCAACTCAGGAAACTGTTATTTCATAGTGAGATTTAACTTAATTTTTTATTTGTATGTTTGTTTTTCTCCTGCAGACTCCATTAATAATATACCTCTTTCATTTCCTAATTGACTATGCTGAATTGGTATTTATGGTAAGTAGTCTTTCAGATAAATTCTATCAATCATTTATCTAATTTTGCAGTCTGTTTTTGTTTTGGTACGGGGGATTGAACCAGGGGCACTTGACCACTGAGCCATATTCCCAGCCCTGTTTTGTATTTTATTTAGTATTTTGTTTAGACTGGCTTAGAATTTGTGATCTTCCTGCTGGGATTACAGGCATGTGCCACCATGCCTGGCACAGTTTGTTATTTTTAAGGAAAAAATCTGCCTTACAAGCTTGGGAGTTTCTCAGAAATAAAAGTAAAATTTTATATTTTTAATTTGAAATCATTGAAGTGTGGCAGAATTATGGAAGTGTGAGAAGCAATCTCTGACTTCTGACTTGCTCCAATTCGTTATTCTTCTTTAGAGCTTGGTTTCTAGATTATGCAGTCTTGAATTTTCTAGCTACAAGATTCTGTGATTGGCTTTAATTGTTCCAGTATGGGGGAAATCCTAAGTGTCCTGACTGTTCTGCCAAGAGATTCTGTGAAGAGGACATAGGCCTTGATGGGACTTTTAGGAGGCAAGAATCTTGAATACTGAAATGACAGGACTGTGGTTGTTTTTTGTTTTTAAATATTTTTTAGTTGTAGATGGACATAATACCTTTATTTTATGTATTTATTATTTATGTGGTACCAAGAATCAAACCCAGTGCCTCACATGTGCTAGGCAGGTGCTCTACCACTGAGCCACAACCCTGGCCCAGGACTATGTTTTGAGAGCATAGCAGTTTGAAACATTTGTCTAGTTTAGGGTTGAAAAATCTGGGTCAACAAATTCCTCTGGAGCTGGGGGTGTGTTTCAGTGGTAGAGCAAGCCTGGCATGGGTGAGGCCCTGGGTTTGATTCCCAGTACTAAGGAAAAAAAAAAAAAAGGAAATAATACATAGGAAGTCTACTGAGGTCTTTTTTTTTGTGTGTGTGTGTGTGTGTGTGTGTTGCTGGGGATTGAACCCATGGCCTTCTGCATGCCAGCCAGGTAATCTATCAACTGAGCTAAATCCCCAGCCCTACTGAGGTCTTCTTTAATAATTATATTGGTTCCTATTTATTGAGGACTTTTATTATGTGCTAGGCACTTACATACATGAGGCTTGCAAAGCAGTGGGTATTGTTCCAATTTTGTAGAAAACTTAAGTAACTTGTACTTTTAGAGCAGACACAGTGATTCACAAGACTTAAGTGGGCCTAGATGGGTTCTAATCTTCAGGGTTTTCCAGTTAGATCTCCCTGACTGGGTCTTACCTTTTAGTAATCAGAATGAGGGTTGACATTCTGCCTGACTGATCCACCAGAACTCTAGGGCCTGGCAGTATTCCAGTATCCCTGCATAACTGAGTTTTATATTTCCTTTTATTCTTCTTTCTTGACAGATAACTGATGCACTCACTGCTGTTGCCCTGTATTTTGCAATCCAGGACTTCAATAAAGTTGTGGTAAGTAATTAGCAGATAGGAAAAACTGGTGGAATTTGGTAACCTTCTGGTCTTTGTTATTACAAAGATTCAAAGGTCCTATACTTAAGCATCTAGCTGCTTTATAAACTAAGAAGTGGAAGTGAAGCTTCTGGTTGGTTCAGCTGTACTTGGAACGACAAACCCAAATCTATGAAAGTGTTTTACTAATACATCCAGAAAGTTCAGTCTTAATCTATGTAGCTTGTTATTATCCACACACCTGTGCAAATTGAGATTTTTTAGAACAGAGTTTTGCATGACAGTTATATTAGTGAGGCCCCTAAAAAATATTCCATTCTTTTTCACCAGTTTTTCTTTTCAAAGGAAAGTGAATTCTGCTTTTAACTCACTGTTAGGACTACTGAGGTAAAATTGGATTCTAGGATTCTATTTTATTTTTTGTGGTGCTGAGAATAGAACCTGGGGCCTTGAGCATGCTAGGCAAGTGCTTTACCACTGAATCATACCACCAGCCCCCAAAGAGTAGACTTTTTTGTACTGGAGATTGAACCCAAGGGTGCTTAACCACTGAGCTTCATCCCAAGCCCTTTTTTTAAAAATTTTGAGACAAGGTCTCACTAAATTGCTTGGGGTCTTGCTTAGTTGCTGAGGCTGGTTGCAAACTTGCCATCCTCCTGCCTCAGCCTCCTGAGCCACTGGGATTATAGGTATGTGTCATACCAAGCCCCAAAGAGTAATCTTAATCAGAAAATTTAGCATGTATTAAGTGCCTCTTAAAAGTATTTTTTTTTAATATTTATTTTTTTAGGTGTAGATGGACACAACACAATGCCTTTATTTTTATGTGGTGCTGAGGATCGAACCCGGGTCCCGCCTGTGCCCGGTGAGCGCTCTAAAGCTGAGCCACAATCCCAGCCCCTATTAAAAGTATTGATGTAAACTTTAGTTTTAATCCTTATTTAATAGCCAGGAGGAATTGCATAGTAGAGACATTTTCCTTTTTCCTGGGTTCTGAGAGAGTTAACAGGTTAATCATGTATACTATCCATGTAATTACATATTTTTAAAAAGTTGGCTATAGCCTTTCTTGATTGGCTGGGAGCCATTGAGAGGATTTAGGCTGGGGTGAGATAAGGCTGCATTTCATTGGCATTGCCTGCTTGTGGTTCATTTTCACTTCTGTTAACAAGTAGTAGAACCAGAAATAGCAATTTGCCTTTCTGTGGCAATGGTCATCAGTAACAGGAAGCTGATAAATTCTAGAATTTTAGACCTCAGATTTTTAAAATATCTAGACCGAGGGTTTTTAATTTGGAGTCCATTTATAGGCTTAATAGGCCTATAAAATGCTTGAAATAGTATGAAAAATTGTATGTGTATGTGCATGTCTGATCTTTTCCGAGAGTCTGTGGCAGTTAATTGTTGCTCAGAGTTTTTGACTTCTGCTAAAGGATTAAGAACTACATTTTAGAGACTTAGTATCACTAAGGCTAATAGAGCATAACTTAAAAATTCTATAGGCTGAGCTGAAATGTGCTAACAGAATTCTCTTGAGGGTTACAGATGAAATAGCTGGGCATGAAGTTCATAAGCTGAGAAATTCAGAGATAAATTAGCACTGGCTATTTTTTTTCTCCAAGATAGGTTATATATGTACACTCCAGTCTTTATTTGAGGTTAAAAAAATGCTAAAGTCAAGTGGCATGTTATCTGTAGCTTACTTTCAAATGGTTTGATAAGAAAAAAAATTATGCCTGTGTGTATGTGTGGAGATAAAAGAAATATGGCGAAATGTTAAGCAACTGGTAGATCTAGGTTTATTATTTGTTATTATGTTTATTATTTGATACTGGGGATTAAACTCAGGGGAGTTTTTCCACTGAGCTACATCCCCAGCTCTTTTTTAACTTTTTATTTTGAGATAGGACCTTGCTAAGTTGCTGAGTCTGGCCTTGAACTTGCAATCATCCTGCCTTAGCTTCTGGAGTCATGGGGGTTACAGTCATGCACCACCATACTCAGTGGTAGCTTTCATTTAAAAGTACAATCAGCCAGATCGTTTGTTGTTGTTGTTGTTACTAGGGATTGAACCCAGGGCGCTTAACTACTGAGCCACATCTCCAGCCTGCACCCCACCCTTCCTTGTTTTTGGAGACAGGACAGGAACTCACCAAGTTGCTTAGGGCCTCAATAAATTGCTGAGGCTGGCTTGGAACTTGTGATCCTCCTGCCTCATCCTCCTGATCCACTTGGATTATAGGCGTATGCCATGCACCCAGCCAAATCTTTTCAACCAAATGTAAAACTGAAATGTGTTTTAATGAAACTTGATTAGAGATGGTAGTGTCATATGTTTATTCCTTGTTTTTCTCCCCTGTTCAACTATCATAAGAATACTACCTATTCCAATTAAAATAGGGCTTGGTGTGTGTGTTTGTGTATTTTGTGGAGTTGGGAATAGAACCCAAAGACTTATACATACTAGGCAAGCATTCTACCACTGTGAGCTATACCTCCAGCCTTCAAAACAGTTTTAATGGGGCAGGGGGAGCTTTATGGAGAAAAATAAAGTATGTTTCAGTTAGTTCCTAACAACCTGACTTCAGGTTGAGAACCTTTCATTTTAGAGTGCCAATTTTAATTACTTTGTTGTATCTCAGCTTATGTAGAGACCTAGAGTTTTTTTTTCTTTTCTTTCCATAATTTAAAAGAAAGAAAAGCAAATGAGTAATTGTCAGTATCTGTATTTTGATGCACAAAGATGTACTACTGTCATCGAGACTGAATTAAAATTTAGATTTTTTTTCCTTCATTCTGCGGCAAACAAACAAACAAACAAACAAAGGTATTATGTCCAACTACAATTACAGGAGAGATTAAAAGTAATCTGCAGGGTGGTAACCTGGGTGTGTTACCTTTGTGGTCATTAATCAGTTTGTATGCAGCTTTCCATTATCTATATATTTTTTGTGTGGTGGAGGATCAAACCCAGGGCCTCGTGCTGAGCCGTAACCCCAGCCCCTATAATTGTTTTCAGTCTCATCATTGTCAACTCTGCTGAATTGTTATAGAAATATTTGTCTTTGATTTTAAATTATACTCCCTCATTTATTTTTATATTTCTGATTTTCTTAGGGTTATATGTGCATGTATGTGTATATAATTATAAATTTCCTTAGATTCTAGCCACTTTCCTTTCTCCAGCTGAATGCAATGGAGATTTTTAAAAAAGGTGTTTTGCCTATGCTTGGGAGTCTGATAATTGGACCTCTGGGGCCAGCTATAATGGTGACCGTGGTTATGAGACTGAGGAAGAAAGTAAAGAGGGAGTGGACAACATAGGAACTATTCATCCCTCCTGGAGACTCGCATTTCAGAAGATTTTTCTGCTTTAAAGTACTGTCCTTGAGAAGATTGCATTTACAAGTCAGTCCTGCTGGCCCACCATCCCCGTTGCCCAAGGATCTACACATTCTTGGTAACTTCCATCTCTCAGTGCAGCCATGCTGGCTGGCTTCCAACCTGGGAATGGGTCTGCAGTCCCACTTGCCTCTCTGTCTGCCCCTAAATGAACTCCTATTCCTGTTCCTTCTTAATAGTTGCTTTTGTTGATCTCATCCTCTCCATGTTGTCTTCTTGCAGCAGAATGCTAGAGCTCTTAGTGGGCCTCCTTCCTTCTACACTTTTGCAGCTGTCCTCACTAAGTGCTTGGATTGCTGAGCCAACCCCCTTCTCTGATAAAAGCATATTAGTTTAAATTTTGTCCTTTTAATTAAACAACCCCAGCTGTGAATAGCACCATAAATATTATTGATGATTATCCCCACTATTTAACTTGAACTCTTGCCATAGTGAGAACAGGGAGATGATCAAAGGGATTTTTTTTGCAGGTTTTCCAACTAAGCCTTTACCTAAACCTGGGCAAGAAATATGGGGCTACCTGTATTCCTGAGATATTCTCTTGATTTTCTTTGGAATTGAAATATTTTCTTCTAAATTTTTAAAAGATTTTTAAAAAATTCTGACACATGGGGCTGGAGTTGTGGCTCAGGGGCAGAGTGCTTGCCCCTCACATGTGAGGCACTGGGTTTGATCCTCAGCACTGCATAAAAATAAATATACAAAATAAAGATATTGTGCGCATGTGTAACTAATATATATATAATATATATGTCACACACACACACATATATTCTGACACATACTTGTGAACCTATTTTCAGCTTGAAGAAAAATTATGCCTGCAGTTAGTTACCTTTCCTATCTTCATCTTCTTATTTTCCCCTTTGACATAGCATGCCCAGTAATCATTGACAACCTTGTGGTTGTCATTCCTGCACACAGCCTTAACTTTTACAACTTTTATAAACATCCCTGAATAATGTATGGTCTTATTTTACATAGTTTTAACTTTATGTAATTGGTACTATGTACTATATAGTCTATTGTGATATGCTTATTTCATCATTAAATCTTTAACCATTCTCACACAGATAGTTAAGTGCTTGCTCTTCTGAAATACTCTAATAGGTTTCAGCATTAGTTTTACTGTTTAATGATTCTCTGATCATTAAATCATCAGGGCTACCCATCTGTGGTTCAGAGATTTTTTTAATCTATATTCTGACCTGTGTTTACTTATAAGGTTGCCTGTTGTTTTTTCATTCTGGAACACACCCATGAACTTGTTGTGACACGTCAGGAAGGCAAGAGCTTTCCACCCCCATCCCATCTTAACTCACTAGCTGCCCAGCCACATCCAGCTCTCCTCTTTCTCTTCATTGTGACCTTTTCACACCTCCTCTATGGAAGTTAAAAAAAAAATGAAATAGGAGAATGAGGAAGAAAACATAAGATACTGAGACATTTGGGATCATTCCACCTGGCTTAAACATAACTGCTTTGCTGATAAAATTTTTTTTTGAGTTTTTACACCACTGATGATAACTCTTCAAAATGGCTAAAAACTGGTTTTCCATTCATTCATTCATTCAGCCATTCAACAGATCTTTATTGTTCTCCCCCTGTGCCAGCTCGTAGGCATATATGGTGATAAAATAACATGGTCCCTACCCTCATGGAACTTATACTCTAGGGAGGGAGCCAGCATTAGTCAGTTACATAAATAAATGAAATAGTTATAACTTTGAAGAATGCTGTGAAAGAATGTGTACCATAGGGTTTTTTGGTTTTTTTTTTTCTTTTCTCTGAGGAACTGATGATTTAACTGGCCTCTAAAGGCTGTGTGGGAGTTATGTAGGGAAAGAGAAGAGGTCCAATGCAAAGACTTAAGGGCAGGAGAAGTGGTGACATGTTCATGGTGCTAGGAAGTAGGGAGAATGTGTATGAAATTAGCCTGGAGAGTGGGTCCAGACCAGGCAGTGTCCTATAGGCCATGGCAAGGACTTCTTGTCTTCATCCTAAAAGCAGTGGGAAGTCATTTGTTTCATGTGTTTTGTCTTTTTTTTCCCCCCCCTAGTTTAAAAAGCAGAAACTCCTCTTAGAACTGGACCAGTATGCCCCAGATGTGGCTGAACTCATCCGAACCCCTATGGAAATGCGTTATATCCCTCTGAAAGTGGCCCTGTTGTAAGTATTCCCTGATAAATCAGGGCTCAGTGCCAGTGAATGTGAGGAAAATCTGATGAGACTTTCCCATGTTGTTTGTTGTATTTTTGGAGATTTGCAGTCTTAGTCATCAAGTATTTGCTTTAGTTCTATTGCACAACTGGGGTTCTGGCCAGCAAAAGAGACAGAGCCATTTTGTCTTTGTTGGGACAAAGACTCACACAGGGACATACACAATCAAACCCTTCACAAATGCTTTCTGATTTGGTGCTGATCTGGGCTCTAGCTTACTTGTGACCAGTGTTTCTTAAAGCGGGGGAAAAAGTTCTTTAATTGTGATGTATGAGTTGAATAAAATTCTGGTCTTTATGTGGTTATTGTTTCAAGCAGCTCCTATGTATAATTTTGTCCCCCATTTGTGGTTCAGAAAACTGAAGTAAAATGTCAAGTAAACCTTGTGCTCTACATGTGTAATATGAAATGAATTCATTCTGCCATCATGTATAACGAATTAGAATAAATAAATAATTTTTAAAAATGTCCATCCCAGTTGTGTCACTAGTGTGGAGGAGTGGAACTTATTGAGAGGCTTTATGAAAGAATTTTCTAGGAGTATTCAGTGCTGCCAGTAAGTTTAATTCTTTCATCTATTCTTATTTTCCTGAAATAGGCAAATGTGAATTATCATTCAGTCAACTAATAGTTGTCTTTTTTGGGGGGTACTTGTGATTAAACTTAAGGGTGCTTTACCACTGAGCTATATCCCCAGCCCTTTTAATTTGTTATTTGGAGTCAGGATCTTGCTAAGTTGCTGAGGCTGTCCTAGAACTTGTGATCTTCCTGCCTCAGTCTCCCAAGTCACAGTGGTGACACTATGTGCCACTACACCTGGCAACTAATAGTCATTGAATATCAATAATTGCTAGTTTCTAGGAATACACAGTAAACAAAACAGACAAGTTTCTTCATGGAAAAATCATGCCCTTAGAACTCTTCAGAATTAGAAGGGAACTTATGAGGAGATTTTACTCAACCCTCTGCTCTGTGTGAATTTCCTGTTTCATATAGGTGTCTTGATAGCTCCTTCTTGAACATCACCTGCTATTCAGAAATGACTTGATTTTCCTCCCACTGAACAATTTTGGAGTATTCAGGTCACATCTCTATATTTGAGAAATATTGTTGGGAACTCCTTTAGTAGAACCAGAGATTTAGCAACATTATGAGTCCTTATAGACTCTTGTCTCCTTGGGGTAGTTTTGTAATAGCAGCAGCCATTTGTTTAAAGGTTGTGTAACAAGCCTATCTGTAGTTGCTGGAAAAAAAAAAAAAAAACTAACAATTTCTAGGCCTTTGGCTTTAGAACTGCTAATCTTACAGTACTGGGAGGTATTGGATTTAAGGTCTTTATTTGTGAATAATAATTATAATCTCTCCCCAAGACACTGGTATGTTTCTTCCTCTCTGATAATCAGAATTATGTAACTGGCCTCCCTTTTACTTTTTCTGCCAGGAAAATCAGCCAGATTTGAAGCTGATTATTAAAATGCTTTAGAAGACCATTGGTCTTCTTTCCCTTGCTTTGTTTTCTCCTTTTATTTTTTTCCTCTGGTCTTGATCATGGCTATTTTTATTTTACTACTATTTTTGTTATCTGTTTTCATTTAGCTGCTGCAAATCCTTTGTATAAGCGGGATAGAAATATATACAAATAATGCATTATGACTGTACAAAATTTCTCAACTCACACGCATTTCAGATTAGTTTCCACAGTCCTTTCCTTCCCACCTCAGGAAAAGAATAAGTGTTTTGGCTCCCTCCCAGTGGAAGGTTAGGATGTCCTATGAAATCAGATGGCAACTGGCTTGTTGAATTCAGTGGGTACTTAATTCTCTCTTTGGAGTCTGCCTCAGTGGGAACTGCTTGACTACTAAGAAGAACGTAGTAGAAAGAACTTTGGCTTTTAAGGGCTTTGAAGCCAAAGAGACCTAATTTTGAATGTACATACTAACTTGTAAAACCTTGGACAAGTTACACATAACCACGGAATCTCACTTCCTCATTTGCAAAACGGGAGTAATGTTATTGCTTGTTTATAGGATCTCTGTAATGATTAAATATAACTGTTTTCCACATTGTACATAGCATAATTTTCTTTTTGCTTATTGACCCCTAACCTCCACTCGATTCTATTTACTTGTGAGAACACATTTCAAAGAAGTTGCCTTCCTTTTAGTGTGCTTTAAGTACACTTCTTAAACTTCCTGGCTGTGGTAGCCAGGACTCCCTGGTCCATTGACCAGGATTACTAATGCTAAATATGTGTGTTCTTCCCCAGCTATCTCTTAAATCCCTACACGATCTTGTCTTGTGTTGCCAAGTCTACCTGCGCCATCAACAACACCCTCATTGCTTTCTTCATTTTGACCACGATAAAAGGTAAGGCCCTAAAGGAGAGTATGTAAAGCTCAGTTCCTGATTTATGCAAAGCAACACTTAATATTTTTAAAAATTACGTATTTAATACAAGATTATTATAGAAAATTTATATAAACCAAGAGGAAAAAAATAATTTAGATGTCCTGAAAAGTCTACCTAAGAGGCACGCTATAAACATAGTTGTTTAAAAAAAAATTAAAAAGTTGTGGGCTAGGGATATAGCTCAGTTGGTAGAGTGCTTGCCTTGCATGCACAAAGTCCCTGGGTTTGATCCCCAGCACCAAAAAAAAAAAAAAAAAAAAGGCTTATAATGAAAATAGTAGTCTTCTGTCATTCTCCTCTCATCCCCCACCCCCCATCTTGTTGAAGCAACTGCTTTCTGATAATATTTACTTTCATATTTCTGAGTGAAAACTTATATTGCTATTTCATGTATTATAAATTTTAGACATTATTGCATTCCTGTTATAGGAAATAGTTAGTTCTATTGTACCAAAATCCCTACTTCTCTTTTGCCTGATTTTCCAACTATAGTTATATCACAGTTTTGATTAAATGAGTAGCCAGTTGCTAGAGGTGTAGTTCAGTGGTTGAGTGCCTGCTTAGCATGCACAAGGCCCTGGGTTTGATCCCCAGTGCACGTGTGAACATACACACACACACACACACACACACACACAAATCTGTAGTTAGTAACTGGTGTTTTATGATACTTTATGATACTATATATCTATGTATTTTTTTTTCACTATTGGGCAAAGTAGCAACTATGATTACTTTCTCCTTGTTATACAACCTTTTATTTTAACCTAGGATTAATGATTGTCTTTTAGTTCTTGTTCAGTTTCTTTCTTTCTTTTTTTTTTTTAACCAATCATTGTTTTTTTCCTTCTAAATCTGTCAAGTACCTACCAGTGTTTTTTTAGAACACTTAAATACATCAAGCAGTCTGTCAGTTTCATTATTTTTCTGGAGACCTCTCTCACATATCCTCCCAGTCTGGCCTGGTTATTCTCTAGTTCGGGTACAAAGCTGTCATACTGGAATTTCCCTTCATAATTCTGTGTTATATCCTTCTTTTCTGGGTTCACTTTTTCCTTTATTGTTTTGTTCCTCTGTTTTGCTGACTTGCATCCAGTAGTAGTAGTCTAAGAAAATGTGTATGAGACAGATGTTTGGAGTCATTCTGTATCTGAAAAATATATTTTTTCTAGTTTAGCACCAAATTAATAGTTGGGTAGGATAAGAATGTTAGACTGGAATAACTTTTTCTTCAGAATTTAATTTTTAAGTTTACTTTAATTTCTTTCTTTCTTTTTTTTTTTTTAACCCCTATCTAGTACTAGGGATTTAAACTAGGGCTTCACACATGCTAGGCACGTGCTGTATCACTATGCTACATCCCATCCCTTCCTTCAGAATTTTGAACACATTGCTTTACTATCTTCTAGAATCTTGATTGCTATTGGGCATTTTGATGGTATTACATATGGTCCAGTTTTTCTTTCTGAAAGATTTAGAATATTCTTTTTAACTATGGTGTTTTGAAATTTTGAGATGCTGTATCTTAATGTGAGTCTGTTTTCTTTCATTATGCCTGGGTATTTGGTTGGCCCTTTCAGTATGGAAACTAGTGTTTTTTAGTTCTATAAAGTCTTCCTGTGCTTTTTTTTTTTTTTTTTTCCAGTGGTGCCTTGAATTGAACCCAGGGCCTTGTGCATGTGAGGCAAGCACTCTACCAATTGAGCTATATCCCCAGCTGTACACTTTCTGTACACGTTCACTTCCTGTGCTGTTTTTTAAATTCTTCCCACTCTGTTTTCTCTGTCTTTTTTGTTTTGAACATCTGTGGGATGTTGGACTTTGTTGCTTGATCAAATATTCATAATTTATTTTTTCCACATTCTTTTTTCTGGGATATTTTCTTGTTTTTATCTTTCAACTCTTTTGTTGAATTTTTATTTTTGGGGGGTGGGTACTGGGGATTGAACTCAGGGGCACTCGACCACTAAGCCACATCCCTAGCCCTATTTTCTATTTTATTTAGAGACAAGATCTCACTGAGTTGTTTAGTGCCTCGTTTTTGCTGAGGCTGGCTTTGAACTTGCAATCCTCCTGCCTCAGCCTCCCGAGCTGCTGGGATTACAGGCATGCACCACTGTGCCTGGTTCTTCTGTTGAATTATTATTTTTTTCCCATTAGTCAGTTATTCATCCTTTCCACCAGCTCCTCCTGCCAGGTTATCATGGCTAAGTAAATGTGAGGCTAGGCCAGCACAGGCAAGGCTACTTCCTCAGATATCTCTTCCATGAGGGTGGGTGCCTGACCCCTCTACTCTAGGCTCAGCTGAGGGGAACTGGAGTAGGCTGAGCCCTTCTGTTGAATTTTTAATGTTATTTATTACACTTTTAAGTTTTTCTTGGTCTCTAGTTGTTTCTTTGAAACATCCTATGTTTACTTTATCATTGTAATATCTTCTTATCTCTCTGAGTATTATATATTATCTGAGTATATTTTTTAAGTTTTTGAGAATAGTTTTTCTTTCTTTCTCATGGGAGGATTTTCTCTTATGCCCAGGGATTTGGCTACTTATATTTAAGAATGAAGTAGTGACCTTTTGACTAGAGACTGTGCTTGGGCAGGGATTGTTAGATCGTTTTCACTGTATGGAGTCAGGCAGTGGGTTGACTTTGTTGTTTTATTGTTGGAGGCATCCTTTAAAGTTGTTGTCAATGGGTTTTATTTTCTCTGAAACTATCCATTTTTTCAGAGAACTCCTCCAGTTTCCTGCCTGAGGGTAGCAGAGTTGGGGTTGGGGTAGTGTAGAGGGTACATGTGACTGGCTGCTGAACCTAAGAGAGCAGAAACAAGGAGGGTGATTGATTTGAGTCTGTACACTTTCATGTAATGTTGCTTTTTTTTTTCAGCTCATACTTCTCAGTCCTTTACTGTACTGTGCGTAGTATTCCATAGACCTTCACTTTTTAAATTTCTCTATAACTGTGGCAGGTGGAATATGAAGAGGGGTGAGATATGTGAGAGTATTCACCTGGCTGCACACCTTAGTATGAGACCTATCATTTTTACTACTCAGTGCCCAAACATTAAGCATAATTTTCCCCCATTTTTTCCTTTTGTTTTATTTTTGGTGTTGCAGATTGAACCCACAGCCTTGATCCTGCTAAGCATACACTCTGAGCTACATTCCTCAGCCTTGATTTCCATCTGTGTACTTTTTTCCCACCTTTCATAATACCTGATACATTCAAGTGCTGAATGTCGTAGAAATTAAGTGGGGGTGGGACTGAGGTTGCATCTCAGTGGTAGAGCACTTGCCTCGCACATGTGAGGCCCTGGGTTCGATCTCTAACACCACATAAAAATAAATAAATAAATAAACAGGCAAACAAATAAATAAAGATTAAAAAGAATTATGTGGAGTAAATTAGCCTTATTTTAATGTGCTGCAGTTTCTTCCATATTGCTAAGTTCTTTTTCTCTCTTTCCCCTGCTTTGTATTTTCTACTGCTGTATTAAAATGTTTTTGCTATAATCTCTTCTGTTCATTGTGGTTTAATGCTAGTTTTATTCCTTTATTGTCATTCAATGAGGTTTTGGTGGGGAGAGAGGTGATCAATCTACCATTTTAAATGGAAGTCCCTCCATTATCATAATTTGGGATATATTTCCAGAATTCTGTCTCCTCCACCCCATTTTCTTCCAGACTTATAAATTTTCTATCAGTTAGCTTATGCCACAAAAATTCTATTTAATAAACCACTCCAAAAACCAAAGGCTTAAAACAGCAACAAGCATTTACTTAACTCATACCTGTAAATCAGCTGTGGATCAGCTGATCTAGGTTGGATGTTGCTAGTCAATTGGCCAGTGTCATTGGAGCCCATTCATGCATCAGTCACTGGCTGGACTTATCTAATCTAGACTGGGCTCTGCTCCATATCTCTGTCATCTTCCTGGACCAGGGGTCTAACTTAAGCATGTTCTTCTTGCAGTGATGGCAGAGGCACAATAGTGAGTAAGCCTAATCAGGCATGTGCTTTTTGTTTCTGGTTGTATCACATGCACTAATATCCCATTTACCAAAACATAAGCCGAATCCAGGGAAGATTTCTATCTTGTCCACAGTGGAAAGGCCTACAGTGTACATGGGAGGGAGAATTGGGGCCAGTAATACAGTCTGCTGTATATGATCAATAAATATCTAGTCTGTCATTTTAATGTCTGCATGCTATTCCATTGCAGTGGATAAATGTATAGAAATTCTTTAATCAATTTCATTCATGAAATACTTAGATGATTTTCTAGTTTTCAGCTATTTACATAATACTACAATTAACTTTCTAACATACAATAATTTTAATGTCTACTCTCAGTTATTTTCTTACAATAAAGTCTAGAAATAGAATTATTTTGCTACTAAATGTGTACTTTCTTTAGGATTTTTGGAATTCATCCTTAAATTTGTACTCCTATAAGAAGATTGTAGAAGTTCTTATTTCTGTTCACTGTTGCTAATTAGTTTGCCAACTCAGGAAATAGAGTCAAAGTTGTACATAGAACCTTTTACTTAAATATGTTACTTAAGAATGACTTAGGTCTTCATAAGACATTGTTTCTCCTGGATTGGTTATGGGTGGTCTTTCTATAGGTCCTTTAGTGTAACTTATCAGGTTACTTAAAATGACCAGATATTACATTACATAAATTATCTTATTCTTAAGGTTATGGTCATTATTTCAGAAACAACTCTGAAGTAGTGAAATTGCTTGGCTATCAGAGTATTCCCCATCTCCATAGTGTCAGGTCAGATACACTGTTCATCAAGGTGCTTGGCATTGTTAAAATAAGAATATAAGGTTGGGGTTGTGGCTCAGTGGTAGAGTGCTTGCTTAGTATATGTGAGGCACTGGGTTCTATCAGCACCATATAAAAATAAATCAGTAAAATAAAGGTATTGTGTCCATCTTCAACTAAAAAGA